GTATAAGGATACTAAAACATCATTAATCAAAAAAAAAAAAAAAAAAAAAAGAAAAAAAGAAAAAAAAAGAAAAAAACAAATTTTTTAAATAAATCTTTTTTTTGGATAAATAAACCCAAAAAAACAATAATATAAAACCAAAAAAAATATATAAAATAAATGAAATGGATATCGAATTTAAAGCTGATCCAAATGAAATATATTTACTTGCAGCAAACTCAAAAATGTTGAAAGTAAACAGAGCTTTGCAAGTATCGGGTCATTACAAATTGAAGCTCGCTGCCTTAGATCTCCTTGATGACCATGTCTCAAATAAAGATTTATTATCAGATTTAAGCCACAACCAATATGCTTCAGCTATTAACTACCAATCTTACTCTCAAGTGCCATGGTAGTGTAAAATATTTAAATAGTGTTAAGGATAAAGCCAGCTCTTTATTAACTAAAATGATTATCAAAGAATGGGGAAGTTCAGATGCTACCGTAGAAAACCGTAAATTCATCTCTGATAGCCTCAAATTAATTGTAGACCCAGTTTCCTTACCAGAAAAATAATGTTGGGAAGAAGTTAAAGATTCCTTTATTATCTTGGGTAAATTCTCTCAAATCAAAAATGAAACAATAGTTTTTGAAGGCTTTCATAAATCAAAAAGAGAAAATAACAAGCCAGAAATTAGCAGATCTTCATTTGTCTCATACCTAGAGATGGTTAATAAAGCATCAAATGACTCAAAGCTTCGATATAGAAATGAATGGAAAAATATCGAACCATTAGCAATCCAGGTATCAGAATTAATTTCCAAAGCACCATTGCCTGCCCGTAATGGCTTATATTGTAACAAAATTTTATGGTGTTTAGAAGTAGCAAGAAAAAAAGGTAATATCACCAAAAAATAAATGAAGATTTTCCATACTTGTTAAGAATTTATGATCAAATAACATGAAGCAAGTTGCAAAAAAGACATCAGTTTTGAAGAAATGTAGTAATATAGATCAAATGAAACATACAATAATATTTGTCAATTTCCATTAATTGATTATATATTTCAATTTTGTAATATTTCAAAATTCACATATTGGTATTTTACACAAATATCAATATACTATAAGTTGTCTCCACTGAATTGAAAAAATCAACATCACTTTTCTAATAAGGTATTATTTTTTTATTTTTTTTTCAAATACATTTATCATTATATTAAAACTTTTTTATTTTAACAATATAGATTCAATTATCTTTTATAAAAACAGTTTTAACAACTAAGCCACCAAGGCATTTTTTATTTTTTAAAATAATAAAGTGAAGATGCAATATAAGATGAAATTCAGGATAAAAGTGAAATTTAAGAAAATTCAAAAGTATTAAACTAAAATACAAATAGTATTGATTTTTAAAACCTCATCCAGTTTATAAAACCGAAAAAGCCGAGTACACTTAAAAACAATAATCAAAATTTTAAAAAATAATTTTTATAATAATAAATAATAACAAAATTTTATTTGACTATAATAAAGAAAAATAAAATATTCATAAAAAAGTAATTTATTTGTATATTTTTAATGCTATTAACATAGAACTATTTTATTTATTTAATTTTTTGATGGTAGTTCTTTGTTGTTTTATTATCATATTATTTAAGACTTGCTGGTGATGTTTCTAGGTTCAATCTTAGTCTCTTATTGGATATAGATTTCACTTTCGATATTATTACTTTTAATATATTTTCTACGACTGAGTGACCTATTACCTTAGTGTTTATTAAGTGATTGAAAAATTATGATTATCTTCAGTTTTTACCAATTATCGTTATCACAGTAGGGGAATAATACCTGATTTAATTGTTTTCTTATTTCATTTTCATTATAAGCTGTCTTTGGGTGTTGTTTGTGATTCTTTCAAAAGTATACTACCCCAATTTTTAGTAAATATCAACACGTTATCATAGCCATTTTAAATTTTTAAAATAATTTATTTTTAAAAAATCTAATAATTTTTTTTAAAATTTTTTTCTTTAATTTTTTTCTTTAATTTTTTTTTTATTTTTATTTTTTTCGATCACAACAAACAAAAAAACACATAAATAATTTTAATAATGTAAACTATAGCACATCCAATAATAATTCAAATAATAATGCCAATGGTTCAAATAATAATACATTAAATAGTTCATGCAATAGTACACAGTGGTTTAAATTCAAATAGAAATAATTTAACATCATCAACAGCATCATTAACAAACATTCCAACTATTATAACAACTTCACCATCATCTTCATTAAAGAATAGTAATAGGTCAATAGTTTTGTTGCTGCATCATACTCCTCAGTTAATTCGACAACAAAGTAATAATTTAACATCATATGACGAGGTTGAAAAAGGATTCAGGGTCCATGAGGAAGATGAGGCAGTCGAATTAAACGAATCATTAAATGAATTTAACAATGAAAGCAGGTTGGTGTTGGTCGTGACGATAGTGATGTTGGCGAGGCTCAAGAAGAAGATGATGACAATAACAAGAATATGGAATTTAAATTCGATTTAGATTTGACTACAATTAATGTAATGGACTATATCGATGACTTTGAAAAGAAATTATTGGAATATTCAGAAAAAGAACAAGTAGTTCAAGATTTCAACAAAAATAACATAGATTTAATTCAATATTCAAAACAGGTATGAGAATCACTAGAAAAATGTGACAAAGAAATGAATGCACAAACAGAAAAAATGTAGTTGAAAAATTACATAATTGACGAGGTTTCAATATCAGATGATTTAATAACGTATGTAAATCGTAACACCTTTATATTTAAAGTTAAAAATATACTAATTCTTATTTGTTTATAGTTTATTAACACATGGCGAAGTTAATGATCAATATTTACAATATCTATCAATCTTTAGTAAAAAATTGGATATATTCAAACACAAAAAAGCGAAGGTGTATTTGCCACAGGTGAAGTTGAGGTTATATTAAAATTAAAACCTTTCGATAACAGGTAAGTAAATTAATACATTATTTTAAAACAACAACAACAACAACAACAACAACAACAACAACAACAACAACAACGAACCCATATACATATAGAAAATGGCATCGTTAAGGAAATAGAAACAGAATTACTAACATAAATTAAATTAACTTTATTAATTTTCAAAAGACAGATTTACCAAATTAAAACCATTCAATACCCTTACAGGATCTGCTATCGTCGATATCATGAGTGAAAGGATATTAATCAACTATATAAAGATTTGGCCTAATTAATCCAACCACGAACTATTGCTTCTATATTATAATCTCAAAACCAATATCAATAACTATCATAAAAAGTCACAAAGTCGCAGAAACTCAAAGTCTTTCAATCTCGAGTAAATCAGATAAAGCAAAGTTCAAATCAATTTCAAGTTCACGTACAAATTCAAAAAGTGTTAATGGATGAACGTTCAGCTCTTATAGACGTTGGTGCACAGTTATCATGTATGAAAAAAACATTGGCAAAATAAAAGATTAAACTTAGATCCAACTAAATACTAAACACTAATGAAGATATTCAATCTAATCAACTGTATATATGAATCTCAATACATTTGCCTTGGCCCAAGCAACAGTGATAGAACACAAATAGTTTAGATATGGAAAAGGGTAAACTTCAGCTTTCGTAAATATTGTTCAAATAGTGAAACAGTCCCTTTTACAATAAGATCTAGTTACTTGTGCTCGTAATATTAGAATATTTTAGCAATCAATCAAATAATTCAAAAAAATAATCAAGTATATATTTAAATATCGAATTAAAAAAATATAATAATGGATCACAAAATTTAAATACCCCAATATTAGCCATCTATATAAAAAAAATAATAGTATTAACTCAGTAAATCAATAATCAGTCCTCAGTTATTAGAAGCCTTTAAGAAAGCTAATATTATAACATTTTATAAAAATTAATTGTTAAAAATCAATAGTACCAAACCAAAGGCAGTCCTCATTAAGAAATAACAGTCACACCCAAACATCACCAAATTCGACATTTTATCATATAATTAATAAAACGCCTCACATTTTCAGGACCATCACTGCTGCGGATGCTGCTGCTGCAGGTAGTGCTGCTACTGCGGGTGGTGAAGGTGGCACAGATGGTACAGGTGACTCATCAACAAGTGGATCAACAGGTATAATAGCAGGTAGCTCTTCAGACTGGAAAGACTCTTCAGACGCATCAGAGGACTCTTCAAAAGGCTCATCAGATAGCATATCATCATCAGCTAGTGATTCATTTTCACCATCTCCCAAACTTCAAATTCCTAATCTTCTTCAAACTATAAAAATAATATTAACGTCTCTGTCTTATGAACATACCAAGAAATACAAAGTAGATGATCAAATAATACAATTTTTCAACATTGGTCATGATACTTCAGTTGGCATATCAGAAGTTTCACTGAGTTCTCGTGCTGATAGAGGGGATGGCATTGGTTTCAAAGCAAGCTGATGAATTCGAAGAGAAGGCAGAAAAAATAAATCCATTAAAAGGGTAGCATCAAATTCATCGAAATCAAATGTTGGTATTTCAAATGCAGGTGCTAATAGTTCCCAATCCTTCAGAAGAAATCAATGGCGATAGAATCAAAGAGACTGAACATGAATATGATAGTTATAGAATTGCAAAAGAGAATTTAGCAATGGAAAAAGATTTAGAAACCAAACAGTTAATAGAAAGTCAAAGAAATAGCAGTAGATCCAAGAAATCTCGATGACGAACTTCCAACTGAAATGATGATACAGGTTGAACAACTTAGATAATTAGAGATTTCTGACTCAAAAGGTTCATTTGGAAACAGTTAGAAATGAAAATACTCAATTAAAATTGAAAATCATCAAATAATTTAAAATCACCACCATCACCATTTAATAAAAATAACAACACCTCCACAACATTTACCTTCAATTTTAAAATATCTCTGCAGTTCTACCAACTTCACTTACCAAACCATATTCTAGAGAACAGAACTAATAAATTCAGTAAACTAAAATAATAAAATAATATTGATAATAAATTAAAATTAGATATAAATTAAAATTAAATAAAAATTTTTTTAAAAGTGATATTTTTTTTCAATGACAAAATATATTAGAATCAGTTTAAGGTAATATATATAAATAATTTATTTTTAGGGTTAATTTAACAGCATCTTCTACGACGATGACCAATATCGATATCAATATTGATAATGTTAGTGTTAACACCACTGCATGGATTAAAACATGGATTGAAACCACATGAACTGCCACTTAAGCTATTACCAAATTTTTTTTTTTTTAATTTTTTTTTTTATTTATTTTATTTAAATTAACCTGCAAATGTGAAACCTTTATCTTTATCGATTACCTTTTCTATTATTAATTTTATTATTGCATTGGTATTGTCTTCTTTAATTCCTATTTGATTGAATGTGGTGACTGATTCTTGCTTATTTGTAAATATCTAGTTGTTTGATAAATTGTTATTTGTTGATTGTTAAAGTCTAATTCTATAATTGAATCGATATTGAATATCCTATAAATTGATTTTTAATTATAACTGTTCCATAGTTATTGGTTTCTGTTTCTGTTTCTGTTTCTGTTTCTGTTTCTGTTTCTGTTTCTGCTTGATTATTATTATTATTGTTATTAATTGGTGATGAACAATCGAAACCTGTGTATTCTGAATTACATTTGCATGTACCTGTTGTTTTATCGCATATTCCATGTTCATAGTATTTAGATGAACATTCTTTTTCTGTGGTATAATATGGATATATGTTACCACTCCATGTGATTGTATTTTGTGTGAAATTGACTTTTATTGAACCAATATTACCTGTTGTGATTGTTGTTTTGATTTGATTCTGATGATAATATATTATATTTAATTTGACACCAATCGATTCTAAATATTTGATCCTTTAGAATTTGCTGATCTTAAAAGTGTTTTTTAGTTGTACAAACATTCTTTTATCGGGTTTTAAAATCTTCAATACCAAAATATTTGATATCGTAATTGCATACTTTACAATATTTATTCTTTCTTGAAGACTGTTCATAAATCAATTGGTTTGATGGTGTGTCTTTGCTAATGTTTGGGAATATATATGTTCATTGAAAAGCTAAATATTTTACATTCTTTATCTTTTAAAACTGCTTCACTGTATGTATGCTTTATTTAATGGTGATTATGTCTATGTGTAGTAGTTTAGTGATTGTATATTTTATTTTTAATTAGTATAACATTATATAAAACAATTGTGTGCAGTATTATTTTTAGAAAATAAAAAAATAAAAAAAAAAATAAAAAAATTAATTTTAAATTTTTTTTTTTTTATTAAATATCATTATTTTTTTAATGCACCCACTTTTATAATAATAATAATTACTTTTAGAAAAGATTTCAAACAAGATGGAAAAAATTACTATATGGTTTAAAATAATAAAAAACAATAAAAATTTATTTTATTTAAAATTTAAATAAGCTTTTAAACTAAAGATCTTTATTTTGATAATGAATAGAAAATAACTAGGGATGGAGAATTTTTAATTCTATATAATAATAATAAATGATAAAATTGATGATAAAGGTGAACCCGGATCTGTGACCAAATGACATTAATTTGTACATAATAAAACGGATGAATAAACCCATTGTTGAAAATAAACTTTATAGGAAAGAATGCAATTAATTCTGAGTAAATAGATTTTAGAATTGAAATTTCGTTTTTTTCAAATTGATTAACTTGGATTTAGATTTGGAAGGCATAAAGAATTGATGAATGAATAGAGTTGGATGGATTACTTTTCTTATTTTTATATGACATGATTATTTTGATGATTATTATTCCATATTAATATTATTTACTCTATTATCTTTATCCTTGTCTTGATCGAATTTTGCATTATTATTTATAATATAATCTATATCCATTATTTTTGTTATTTGTTTTAATATTATAATCGTTATTTGAATATGATTATTATTTATATTATTATCATTTTTATTTTCATTATTATTAAATAGAAAGTATTCTAATCTTTTTAAGTTTTAAAATTAAATATTAGTTTCTTTTATATTCAAAAATAATAATAACAATTATAAAAATATAAACTTTATAAATACCTTTAAAGTACAAATATTTGATGAATGACCTGAAAACCACAATTAATAAGAATTATGTAAACCCCAATAAATAATGGGTGACTTGAAAAAACCGAATGCTTGATAAATGACATAAAAAACCCAATTTAAAAAGAATAAACTAAACCCAATGAATGATGAACGATTTGAAAAAACCACAGCGTTTAAAGAATTAAAAAAACCCACGATGTTTGATGAATTAAAAACCCACAATGATTGACGAATTAAAAACAACAGCTTTTGAATAACTTAATAAACCCACAATGTATGATGAAATAATTGAAAAACAACCCCAATGTTTATTGAATGACTCGAAACCCACAATGTATGATGAACGATTTGAAAAAACCACAGAGTTTGAATTGAAACTCCATTTAGAAAGAATATATCGAACCCCCAATGTTTGATGAATGACTTGGTAACCCCTATTAAAAAGAAAATACTGAACCCCAAATTTTTGATGAATGCAGATTAAAAAGAAGATATTGAACCCCAAATGTTTGATGAGTGACCTGAAAGAAACCTCAGTGTTAAATGAATTACTTGAAAAACACAATTATAAAGAAAATACTGAGCCGCGATATAATGGAACATATGGAACCCCTAATGTATGAATAAATACTCGAAATAAATAAATCATTATTAAACCAAATATGAATTGACTCTATCTTTGTATTTTGGCTTTTCATTAATTATTTATTTTCATTTTGTGAAAATTTAATTTTCTTTTTTATCTCTTCCATCTATGTCTTTATCCCTTTCTTTTCTCTTTTTTCTATTTTCTTTTTCCATTTCTTTTTGTCTTTTCCTTTCTTTTTCTTTTTTTCTCTTTTCGATTTCTTTTTGTCTTTTTCTTTCCTTTTGTTTTTGTCTCTTTTCATCTTTTTCTCTTTTAAGCTTTATTATTTGTTCATTTTGGCTGTAATTTGTTAATAAAAGAGTTGGGCCATTATTATCTGTTTGATTTCTTCTTTTTGCTATTTCATCAAACTCATTCCAAGCCTCATGGACCTTTTGTTTTACTCTTCTTTCAATTTCTTGTTTTGTGTCCATAAGATTTGCCCTTTTTTTATGATTATGTTGATGCTGATGCTGATCCTGATGATATTGGTGTTGATTATGACGATGTTGGGTATAGTTTTGATCTGATTCCTCATCAAAATTAGAAAAGGTTGGTGGAATAATTTGTGGTTGTGAGGGGTGGGTGTGGTGTATATTGTAGTTGTAGTTGATGATGTTGATGTTGATGCTGATTTTGATGCTGATGCTGATGCTGATGTTGATATTGATATTGATGTTGATAATGAAATTGATGTTGTTGATGTTGATGTTATTGTTGTTGTTGTTTGATTATTTCATCTATATCCTCAACTAAACTATAATGGGTTGTTGGGGTGTGTTGTGGTTGTTGTGGTTGGGTTTGTTGTGGTTGTTGTTGTTGGGTTTGTTGGGTTTGTTGGGTTTGTTGGTCATTATTATTGGTTGAAAGTTTACAATATAAAATAACTAGGACTGCAAAAAAATAGAAAATTAAATCTATTAAAGAAAACATTTTATTTTATTATGATTGTAATAATTTGTTTCAGTAATGAAATTTAAAAATTAAAAAAAAAAAATTCAAATAAATAAAAAAAAAAATTTTTTAAAAAGAAAGAACTGTTTTGAAAATTTTTATTTTTTTTATAATATAAAGAAAAAAATAAAAAAAATAATTATAAAGTAATAATTTAGTTTATATCTTTTTTTTATACTGATTATTGATCTTTTTTTTATTTTATTTCGATTTTTTATTTAATTTTCTTTTAAATGATATCCAAAACCTTATACAAAATATTTCATTTTAAAAATAATTTTTAAAAAAAAAAAAAAAAAATTTATTAATTTTCATAATTATTCGATTTACAAAAGAATCAATATTCCATTTATTTTATAAATATTAATTAAATTATTTCTAGTGTACAACAAATAAGATTAAAAAATTGAAACTTTTATTATTTTATTATTTATTTTTTAAGAAAATAAAAAAAAAAAAGAAAAAAATTATGTTTGTTTTCATTGGATAGTGACAGTAGCAGGGGCAAGGCAGCAGGAGTAGCAGAAGCAGCAGTAGTACAAGCAGCAGGAGCAATATCAGTAGCATCAGGACCAGTAGTAGTAGCAGGGGTAGCAGGGGTAGCAGCAGTACCAGCGGGGCAGCAGGGGTAGCAGCAGTTGCAGGGGTAGCAGTACCAGCAGGGGCAGCAGCAGTTGTAGGGGCAGTACTACCAGCAGGGGTGACAGCAGTTGCAGGGGCAGTACTACCAGCAGGGGGCAGCAGTACCAGCGGGGCAGTAGCAGTACCAGCAGTTGCAGGGGCAGTACTACCAGCAGGGGCAGGTGATTAGTTTACGATAAAAATGAATTTAATCTTTTTAATTCAATATATTTGGGGAATATAAAATATTAATTTTAAGATTATTAAAAATAATAATTATAAAAAAAACATCATTTATTAAATAGATAAATAATATAATTTTCATTTTTTTTAATTTTAATTTGTATTTTTATTTTCATTCATTTAACTACTTTAATAAACTAATTTTAAAATAAAAAGTATTGTTATTAAAATAAAATATAGTAAAGGAATAGTATCACAAAAAAATCAAGAAAATCAAAGAGGTATAAAAAAAAATGAAAGTAAAAATAAAATTATTTTTTTATATTTAAATTGTCGTTTTTTTATTTTTAATATTATTGAAAAAATTATTTTGATTAATGTGGTCTAATTCCCCATTTCATAAATTTTTGAATTAAAGTTTGTTAATGATTGTAAATTTCTAATCTATAACCTTATTCCTCTTCTTAATGGATTTGATAAAATACCAGCTTTTTAACCTATAAGTGTTTTTGCCAATCTAAAACACATTCAAAATCAGAATCTAGTCCTTCTTCAACTATAACTTTACATTTGCAACACTCCATCTTTTTGTCTATATAGAGTTCTTTTTGTGTTGTAGTTGGAGCTGTTATAAGTGGTGTTGTTAGATTGGAATTGTTGTTCTATTTCAACTAACCTTCTAATCATATCTCTTTGCTCATCTTCATTTGGTGATTGAAATCTGTATTCTTATTATTTCTGAATTATCCACATTTATTTAAATAAATATTATATAACTATTATTAATTATGTAATTATTTTGCTAAATTATTATTATTATAAAAACTATAGTTGAAATAAATAAAAAAAAAGAATTTAAAAAGTTATTGATTGAAATAAAGGAAAAGAAAAGAAAAGAAAAGAAAAGAAAAGAAAAGAAAAGAAAAGAAAAGAAAAGAAAAGAAAAAAAAAAAAAAAAAAAAAAAAAATTAATAATGAAATTTTATATAAAGATGAAAACTTTACTTTATATAGTTGATTATAAGGTAATCTGTATAAAAGTTAAGTTCGCAATTTATATGATTTTTTCCAATTGTTTTTTTTTTTTTTTAGAAAATTATTTTTTTATTTATTAAATTTTTTAAATTTTTTAAATTTTTTTAAATTTTAATTAAAAAAAAATGTGTTTTATAAATTTTTTTTTTTTTTTTTTAATTAAAAATTATAGCTTTTATAACCACACACACTATTTTACATTTTATATTGCTTTTTTTTTTACACCAATCAACTTTACCCATAGCATAATATTATTTTATTATATTTTTTTTTTTTTTTACCCCCCCCATTCAACTTCACTTTTTATAAGATTTGTTTTTTTGTAAATAAAATTTTATTTTTAGTTTTTATATTAAAAAAAAAAAAAAAAAAAAATTAATATATTTTGTAAATAAATTAGTTTATTATATTATTTGTTATTTGTTATTTATTTTTTTTGTAAATAATTGTTTGTATATTATATAAAAAAAAAAAAAAAAATATTATTTATTAATAAATTATTTTTATTATATTTGTAAATAGTAAAAAAATGTTTTATTTTGAAATTAGTTTTTTAGTTTTCTTCATTTTTTATTGGTTTTTAAAAAAAATCAAAAATAACACCACCAAACACTACTACCCAGATGGAACCGAGTATGAGGAAGACTTGTTCCTCGACGACGAATTTTATGAGGATTTCCATAAAAAAAATAACCCACCACAACAAAATCCTCAATCACTATCACAACCACAACCAACAACCAACAATAACAACCACAACATAATCCAAGACCAACTATCACAATCGCCCCCACCCCAACAACCACAACCACTATCACAATCACAATCTCAAACACAATCACAATCACAACCAAAATCAAAAAACACTGCATCCACCCCTGATTACAAAAAACTTCTTCAAAGTATTCGTGATTACGAAATAGAAGAAGAAGAAGAACAACAACAACAACAACAACAAGAATCACAGCCAAAATCACAACAACAACCAACATTTACAGCCGCTACAGCCCCAACTATTTCAACTGCTATCAAAAATCCACAGCCATCACCACCTGAGGAAGCCATAAGACGTTTAAATCAACGTTTAGAGCTCTACCAATTAGAGAATAGTAGAGTAATTCCAGGAGATGGCAACTGTCAGATGTACGCCTTATCTGACCAAATTTTTGGAGACTTGGAACATAGTTTGGAAATTAGAAGAGCCATTGCCACATGGCTCATTAAAAATAAGAACCTCACCCTTAAAAATGGTGCAAGAATATCCCAATTTGCACATACTAAAAATTGGTATAAGTATTGCATCCGAATGGCAAGAAGCGGAACTTGGGGTGACCACTTAACATTAATTGCTGCTGCTGAAGTATATAAATCTAAAATAACAATTATTTCATCAGTCGAGTCTGATAGCAGCTTTTTCATTGAAATTGTTCCAAATTCAATTGAAAATGATAGAGCAATTATCTTATCTCATCATGCCGAAGAACACTATGGCTCAGTACGTCCAATGATGGTTCAAGACGTAAATTATTAAAATTATAGAAAATTCAGCCAGGTTATATTTTATTTTTAAAGGTAAATAATTATTATCTTTTTTTTTTTTATCTTTTATAATATTTTTTTATAATTTATTAATTCATTTTTTTAATACAATAGATTTCACTATTGTCATAATATTGACACTGGTCTATATATTTCGGTATTAGCTGTACAGCTAATCAATAATTTATAGACAGAAGGGTTTGCTAAATAATGGTATTACAAGTGGTAGTTCGCTCAGTGATTCAAATGGTGGTCTAAGCAATGTTTCAAGAGAGTTCAAGTGGTTCAAGAAATTTAAGTAGTGGTTCAAATGGTGGTCCCAATAATGTTTCAAGTAATCAGTGAAAAGGCAGTGAAAGTAATCGTTCAAGGGGTGGTCAAATGGTCGTTCAAGGGGTAGTTCGCGTGGGAATTCAAACGGTGGTCAAGAAATTTAAATTTTTAAGTTATATTTATAGTAATCAAATGTGGTTGGCTCAAGTAGCTATATAAAAAGTAAATCAAATGTGGTTGGTTCAAGTGGTAGTTCAAATAGTATTTCAAATAGTGATTTAGGTGGTGAAGCAAATGCAGTTTCAAGTGGTGTTATATCTATTATGATTCATGTGGTACTTCAAATGTTTAATACATTGAATTGTAGGAGTCCAAACAATTTAAATAATAATCGGTCAAGCTAACAAAACCAGATTAAGAACCGAAAACAAAAAAAGAGGTTAAAAGAATAAGGGAATTGAGTAGAGATCTTCGATTTGATAAGTTACTTATAAGAAAGATCAGAATTCGTCAAGAAATCATAACTTAAGTATGATATCTTTATTTAAAATTTTATTTAATATTAAATTATATATTAATAATCTTTTTATTTTATTTTTTCTTTAAATATATTAATTAACCACCCAATATTATAACAAAACAGTATACCGTAGTTGATTTATTGTGCCAATCAATCTCATGAACTATTTTATAAATATCATTAATTTTCTCTGGCCAAGTAATTATGATAGAAATAAAATAGTTTTATGAAGAGAAGGTAAAGAACACAGAAGTTTTCATAGCTATTCATCAAATTAGGTAATATCATACCTCGTCACTTCAAGAAGTCCATTAAACTTTAATTTTCACTCATCATCAAAATAATCACAGCGCAACAATTTATAGATTTATATCAACTATGGGAGAAATAAGGATTATGAAAAAAACTCACCTTCGATAAACTGGTTATAAAGATCCAGGCACAATTAGACAAATAAATATTTTTATAAACAAATTAAACTAATTTTAATATAAATTTAAAACAATTATAATAAAAAAAATAGAAATTTTTTAAATTATTTTTTTCATTGTTTTATCGTTTATTTTTCATAATTAAAAAAAAAAAAAAAGAAAACTATGCTTTTAGGTTCCGCTTAGGAAGGGGATGTGTAATGAATAAGGACCATTACTTTATAATTATTATTTTTATCAGCAACATAAACAATAAATATTTATTCATTTAAAGTATTGGAAACCAACCACAGTTTAAAATATAAATTATGTTATACAGTCATGATAGAAGTATAATATAATTTATATTTCAAATCAATTGCTAAGGAAAAACTATAAACACGGTATATCATATAATGGATTCAACAGACTTTGGAATTTATACTCTCAAATTACATCATCAATTTAAGTAATAGCAATAGCATAGGAGATAAAAAACATTTACAATATCCCCAATATAATAAATCCATCATATAAACTATTTGATTTATTAGAGATTTCACTCCTTCAATTAGAATACTCTCCTAAAATAATTAAAACATCTGCTTATTGCTCCGGAACGATCTACCTCGAAACATTGTGCTTAGTTTTATTAAAACAATGTCATTATTAACTTCAATGGGTACCAATGGTGATGACAGGGTGGTAAAATAACACATCAAAGTATTTTAAAAAATAAATAAAATATCATAATATCATATAAAATAATAACATAAAATCAAATTATTTCTTTTTTTTATTTTTTTTTATTTTTGATAAAATCTTAAAGATCCCAATCATAATTCATATTTGTTTTATGGATATATTTATATATTTTTTTGAAAAATCATACACCAAATAAATAAAATTAAAAAAAAAAAATTATTTTTTTAATTTTTTTTTATTTTTTTTAATTTAATTTTTTTTTTTTATTTTTTTTTAAATTTTCATATCTTTTATTTTATTGTTTTATTAAATAATATTTATAATACATAAATAATATCATTTTCATATTTATAATTATAAAATTAGGATAAATAAACAACAAAACATATTTATTTACATAAATTAAAAAAATATATAAATAATTAAAAAAAACATTGTATTTAATAAATATATTGTATTGTTTATAAAATTTAAAATAAAAAATGACATCTAGATGGGACCAACAGCAACAAGTACAGCAACAACCCCTATTAAATGGCTCATTAAATTCATTGTCGACAAATCTAGATAATTTAAAAAAAGAGAGAAGAAAATTAGAAAGTTATATAGATGGTAAATTAAATCAATTATCAACATTAAATGACAAGGTACAAAGGGACGATGAAAACGTCGATATTGAATATAGCAAAATTGACTTATCAGATTTAACTTCAGAACTTGACAGCGCTTTTAAAAATGTAATATTATTTTTAAATCTCTGATATAATACATCATATATTCAGATCTACTTACAAAAACAATTATAACAATATCAATATTTAATATATAATTTAGCTTCAAAGATGTAACGAACTATTAGTTGATGATCCAAATTTTAGTAGCAATAAAGAACATAAAGAGAAATTGGATGATTATTTAATAGAATATAGAAAATTAAAAAAAAATATAATAACTACATTAGAAAGGTCCGAATTATTAGAAGGCTCAACTTATAATAAAAATAAAGATACCGAAATCCCAATGACTAATCTCCTAAGAGAACATTCGTCACTCCAAAACAGTTCATATTTAACAGATTCAATTTTAGGTCAAGCAAGACAAGCCCACGAAGCATTAGAAAATCAAAGAAGAATTTTAAGAGGTGCCTCTTCAAAAATTACCTCAATGCCAAGTTTGTATCATATTCATACCAAAAATTATTATCACAACCAGTTATACTAATCTCATTATTATTATTATTTATACTTATACTCATAGATTTATTTCAAACAATTGATGGTGTTACATCAAAAATTAAAAGATATAAACAAAGAAATGTTGTTATTATAGGTTTATTAATTGGTGGTTTAATATGTTTCCTTTTGTATTATAGCTTTAAAAAATAAATCAAAAATAAAATAAATTATAATAGTAAATAAATAATAATAATAAAGTATATAGTAATAATATTTTTTTTAATGAAACCCATTTTAAAATTAAATATATTATTCAATAAACAAATCAAAAATTAAAAAAAAAAAAAGAAAAAATAATCAGATATTTTATTTCTTTATAATAATACTTAAAAAAAAAAACTTGCCATATTTTTATTATAATATATTGCATTTTATTGACATTTCAATTATCATTAATTAAAAATATCCTAATCACTTTTAACTTGCTTTAACGCAGTCAATCCAACACGTAAGAATATGACGGGTATTTTTAAATTTCATTTAATTATATTAATATAAAAAAAAAGATTTTTTTTTTTTTTTTTTTCTTTTTTTTTTTTTTTTCAAATAATTTATAGGAAGAAAGATTATTTTTTTTTTCTTCCAAATTATTATTATTTAATAAAGAATCTATAAAAATAATTATAAAAATAATAATATTAAAATAATTTTTTAAGAAATTTTTTAAAACCCAAAACATTCTAAAAAGAAAATTATAATTTTTTATTACACAAATAAAAATATAAAAAGAAAAGGTATAAAATTTTGTAAATACTATTTTATCATTTGTGTGGATTTGTGTGTAATTATGTGCATTTTTGTGCTAATTAATTAATTTATTTTTTTTGTAAATATAAAAGGATATCATGATATCCTTAAAAGAGAAGAGATTGAATTTCTTTTTTTTTTTTTTAAATAATTATGGATTGAATTAGATGAAGGCTAGATTCAGGGTGAAATGGTGTAGTGGTGTTGTAATGTGTGTGTGGGTTTTTGTGTGGCTTTTTGTGTGGGTTTTTTTTTTTTTTTTTTTTTGTCAATGCGGTGGTCTTTTAATAAGTTGGTTAAATAAAATCCCAAAAAAAAAGTATAAAATATCAAATCATCAAACACCAGTTTTAATTTTTTATTAAATTAATTAATTTTTTTTTTAAAAAAGTAATTTTTGATTTTTTAATAAATTTTAATATAATTAAAA